AATTGTCATTTATCCACCATTATTTTGAAGGGCATAAGTGTCATTTTAGTTGATAAAGCACATTCCTTCCTTAAATGAAGTGACACCATGCTCCCAACAGAGTATGCGCAATCTCATGGAGCGAAGTAGAGACCAGTCCACCATGCTCAGCACCTCTAATAGCATCCTCTGATTGTCCATGCGGTGGCTCGATTGTTGGAGGGGCCTCCAACGACGTTAACCAAAGAAAAAGCAGGTTTGGACCAAGTAAATTGACTTCATTGCCCTCAAAATAACGGTGGATAGATGATAATTGTAACAAGGGACCACATTGAGTGTGATTTTAAAAGTTATAGGACTAAATTGGGTACTTTTAATACTTTAGGACTAAATCGAGTATTAGTTAATAGTCAGAGGACCAAAATGGGTATTAACTCAATTAGTAAGATAATTAGAATGATACAATTCAATTAGTGGGAAAATTAATATTTTGCCTAAATTAACATAGAGAAATTATGTATATCATAATATATTATTACCTTGTATAGTTTGTATAATTTTAGTAGGTTAATTATATAATTATTATAAGAATTAGTAAATTAGTATATATAAACAGATCCATTATATAGGAAGATTGAGAATCTGCCAAATATATTGTTATTCTAGTAATTAATAGTCAATCAGAAATTTTACGAAAATTCTTGTAGGTTAAGTGAAATAGGTTGCTATAAATCATAAATAAAACTCTATAGAAGAGAACATCATCGTACAAATTAAAACATGGCTACATCTCTTTCTAGCCATTCCACTCCCCTTCTCCTCACCATCTCCATCCTCATCTTCTCCCTGGCTTTTCCGGCCACCGGAGACGACCACGTCTTCGGAAAACCCATCGACCGGAAATCGCTAGGCCTAAAGGAGGAAAAACTCAGCCACTTACGCTTCTACTGGCACGACATCTTGAGCGGCCGCAACCCGTCTGCCATCAAGGTGGTCCCGCCGCCGAGGAACTCTTCGACCGGGTTCGGGTTTGTGACCATGATCGACAACCCGCTAACCCTCGGGCCGGAGCTGAGCTCCAAGATGGTCGGGAAGGCGCAAGGGTTCTACGCCTCGGCGGCGCAGCAGGAGCTCGGATTGTTGATGGTGATGAACTTCGCCTTCGTTGAAGGGAAGTATAACGGCAGCACTTTCACTGTGGCCGGCCGGAATCCGGTGTTTAATAAGGTGCGGGAGATGTCGGTGATCGGCGGCAGCGGGCTTTTCCGGCTCGCCCGGGGATATGTTCAGGTCAGGACTCACTGGTATGACCCTGAAACCGGTGATGCCACGGGTCAATATGATGCATATGTTATGCATTATTGAACTGCTACTATTATTTATTTTTAATAAGGGGCCTTCTAGCTTCTACTAGACTAGATAGCATTTTATATTTTTATGGCATCAATAATGTAACCTTTGATCCCTTAATTAGTACGGAGTACTATTAATTGAATAATTGATATGCCCAAATTAAAATAATAATAATAATAATAATAATAATAATAATAATAGTAAAATCTCATTTTACTCTCACTTAATGTGTTGATAATAATCTATTTTTCTCTCTTTATTCTTTTTAGATCTCCATAACAATTTTTAAAAGTAATTTCATACAATTTAGTATGACAAACACATTTTCTTGGGTTTTTCTCTTCTCTTTCTCGTCATCTTAATTCCATTATTTCTTTATCGTATTTTTGTAAGTATGATATTGTAATGTAAATATATAGCATTTAAAAGAGATCATATATAACAGATTTGATTAAAAGAGTATTTAAAAAAAATTAAAAAAAAATTGTGATATTTAGATATAAGAATCATGTTTTATCTATTCATTCACTCATTTTAAGACAAAGTAGCCAAGTAGGTACTAATATGAAGTTAGCTAGCTTCTACATGTAGGTTTAGCTTATTAAAACTATTGATACTAATAATATGGTGTTGTGGTGTAGTTGGTTATCATGTTAGTCTAACACATTGAAGGTTTTTGGTTCAAGTTCTGGCGACGCCATGGGTAATTAACATTTTTGGACGACGCACAGTAGAGCCAAATTCTTGACTTATTCTTGACTTGGATCTTAATATTTCAAGTCCCCGTTGTTGGGCTTGATAGCCTATTAGCCAAATCCCCGGAGCAATCAGCAATTATATTGTGGATCATGGTCCAAAACGATAGACACTATTGTGTATGGCAATTTATATCCTACACCACGGCGTACGTTGCACTATGCGCCTAGATGCAAAACGACGTCGTTTTAATTATTATTATTATTTTTTTTTTTTTTGAAATTTTCTGCCCCAGTGAATGGTAGTAGGCTGCCAAAGACCTTGTGGTCAAGCGGCATGAAGTGACTCTCCCAAGTGGGAGGTCATGGGTTTGAGCCTCAATGGAGGCGATATTGACTCGTTGGGCTTCAATGGGTTGAGAAAGTATATGAACAGATACTACAATGTAATAGGGTCAATAGTATTCAAAAAAAAAAAAAAGAATGGTAGTAGGCTTTTCTTAAAAAAAAAAAAAACCCGCTGTTCAAGAATGTACATAATGTTATACTTGAATACACATAATGTTATACATGAATGTACATAATTATATAACAAAATATACATACTCTTTTTAAAAGATAATACACATAATCTAACATAATACATAATAAACATAAACTTTTAACATAATACACACAACTTTTCTGATTCGGATGTACATAATTGTATAAAAAGAATGTACATAATTGTATAAAAAGTACACATAACTGTATGAACCAATACACATAACGTTGTGAACAAATACACATAACGTTGTGAACAAATACACATAATCTCAGCAACTTCCTACCGCGCCTCCCAACACGCCCCCAAAACGACGTCGTTTTGGGAGGCGCGCGGCGCACAGTGCTATGTGCGCCGTGGTGTAGGATATAACGATTGATTGTGTATCTAATTAAACTAACATTGTCTCATGTATTATTTTTATTATATTATCAAATGAAATTGTAATTGAATTGAAATGAAAATTGCAATGTATAGGAGTTATATCAAAATGATATTATAGTTGTGTTGAAATGAAACTGCAGTGAATATTTGATTTTAGTTATAGATGATCCTCGTATACAAGACTACTTATTCTTATCTTAGCTACTCCTCCTCGATTATAGCTACTCATGGTCCTTATTGATGTTAGTAACTCAGTATTGTTGTATACAAGACAACTTATTCTTATCTATATCTACAATGAGCTTATTTTTTAAAAAATAATTCTTTAAAATTTATATACACAATTAGTAACTTGCCTAATGTTAATGTTCTAGAAATACTAATTGTATTTTTATTTATTTATTTATTTATTGAGTTCAAGTGCTTGTATTATTATTTTTTGGGGTTCAATTTGAAAGTATAATAAATGTTCCTAAATGTTTAAAATTGATATTCACTCTTTACTCTTTTTGAATATTAAAAATATTTTTATTGATTAGAATAATTCTTTTTTTAAAATGTTGTGGATCATCCCGATGAATGGGATGTCCCAATCAAAAAACCAGTACTGGTCCACTATAAATTCGATCAATAATCATAGATTTTTATCTCTCAAAGTGAGAGGCTCCTTGTGCGCAATGAGCAAAGGTGTAGCCTCTATGGTTCATGTTCGGTTGAGTCACCATGATTTACATCCTTCCAAATGCTCTGTCAGATCGAGATGTGGGGACCCTTAAATATTATTATTAAGTATAATTATATCAAACAACTATTAATTAACAGTTAATTTATCAAATACTTTTCTGTAATTAACTAATGTTATCAACTATTTATACTCTCTAACTAATACAATCAGCTAACAGTTCTTTTACCAAACACGTGTAAAATATATTTAGTATAAAAATTTAAACATGATTCTTTCCCGAAAATTCATGAATATGCATGCACTAGCCTAGCCACCTTAGAGGCAGGCACCAATAACCAATTAAAGATAATAAAGTGATAAAGACATGAAGGAAAGTGACATGAAACTCCTCCACCCCTTACTCTACCACTGTCTTTTTCATCCCAAAGCAAAAGCAATATCCAGTTGAATCTAGAAATTCCCAGAATCTGTGACTCTACTATATGTGCTCTCAAATCTCTCACCACAGCTACCACTATAATTGGTGGCCAACAGTACTTAAGAATCATTTCATTCTTTCTATAAATATGACCATAACAAGAGCTTTTGGCCTCTGAAACATCAGACCAGATCACCATGGCTAGGTACAACTACACCTCATACTACGACTACCTTCAATACTTCTCAGATTTTCCCATCTACTTCTTCTTCTTCCTCGCAATCCTCTTCTTCTTCCTCTTCTTCACATGGTACGTCAACTACGACTCCATGTTGGAAGATCTGATGGACCAAGCCAGGATTTGCCTCCTCCTGTTCCCGCTCCTTCTGCTGCTCGCCGTCCACTGGCTGTCTAGCGACGACCGGGAGAGGGTCCCGTTCGCGATCTCCTTCCCGGAGAAAGAGTCGCTCCACCGCGTCGGAGGGTCGCCGGTGGGAGTTGCAGTTCTGCTCATTTTTCTCCTCTTCATGATCTCTCACCACTCTTCTCTGCAAGAACGCTGGTTCCCTTTGTTTAGCAGAAAGTAGGGCTAGCTAGCTGGTTCAAATTATGTTTTTTTTTTTCAAAAATAATTGATGTATACTACTAAGTAATAACTGTATGTATATATTCACGAAGTAGTGGGTGGGTGGAGTTACTAATGTAATTGTAAAATAGATTATGTTAAAAAAAAAAAATCCGAATTAGTATTATAGTGAAGGTATAGTATACCATAACAAAAGAATTATATGTATATATCATATATTTTATTTTTATAATCAGAGTGGATTCCACTTTATAACTCATCTTTGTTATCTTGAACATTGGCCAAATTTCAAAAGATTCTTTCTTTCTTTCTATATTGTACTTATCATTCATGTTTATTACCATAAAGGCATAAACTTTTCTTTGTAATTAATCTTTGTATTGCACTATCATTATCTCGCATGATACAACATCTAGAACAGCTCTTCCATTGAAAATTCCTACTTAATGAAACCTCTATAGAGTTCAGAAGAAACCATCCTTAATTCTCCCATTGACGACATTAATCCTGTTTCATTAGACTCCTCGAACTCTTCCGACGATTATTTTCTTGATGAAGATCCCTCCGTTGATGCCACCGGAAACTCTCCTGTTTCCGATCAGAGATTTTCAGATTCCTTTGTATACTGTCTCAGTCCTTAATCCAAAATTCTTCTGTTGCCAACAATGGTGATTTTCCTGTTATCAATCTCCCTGGCCGTACAATGTTGATTAGCACTTGCAAGTTCTGCAATGGCTTCATCCAAATATTGGCGCACTCTCGGCTGGTACAAGCTTTACTAACTTGGCTAGATCGTACGACTTGAAATCTTTCCCATAACATAAGCACAGATCAAGGGCTGTATTCCCATCCTGAAACAAACATTACATAACACTAATTCTCTCTTTCATATAATCATATTTGAACTATAAAACGTTTCATACTTTCTAAAAGATGTCACCTTATTCCTCCTCGACTTGTCTGCTCCATTGACTAGCAAAACTTTCACTATGTTTCTGTTTCTACTTTGTACAGCAACATGGAGTGCTGTCCAGCCTTCCTGTGAGAGCAAAATACTTTTTAAAATACGGACCTCTTGAAACTATATTAAACAGAATGAACCTGCACTCTTACATTGTCAGCAATGTTGACATCAACATTGTACTTATTAATCAATAGCTTGACAGTTTGCATTGCTCCAACTTGAACTGCATAATGGAGTGGCGTGGCACCATCCTGCAATGACAATAAACAGCTATATACAGCCTCTAAGGAACGAAACAAACAGCCATGAAGTGTATGAACAAGTAGGATCATCTTGGGGGTAACCCCAGTCAAGTTGGTTAGACTGTTGACTTGGTAACCACAAAGTTTCAAGTTCAACTCCCAGCCGGAGTGGCCTAGATTGGCCTTCTTGGTTTGAGCAGGTTAGCTTTATCTCCCTATGGTCCTTTGTTGGCAGGGTCAAAAGGCGGGGTTTACCCCGTGCACACCCTAGGGTAGAGGCTGAGGGATTCCCTCATCACTCAAAAAAGGAGGATCATCTCACCAGGTCTCTAGCCTGAGGGTTGGCGCCTTTTCGTAGAAGATGACTGATGACGGCCTCTCTTTTACCAATAACTGCATAGTGAAGTGCAGTTCTTCCATCCTGTTTCACCAAATCAATTTAGACCATTGCTGGAGAAAAAACAAATAAAAATCCATCCTTTTGATTATTTGTCTATGAATCTTGGAAGCCTAAATGAAACCAACCTTATCAACCATATCCACATTGAGGCCATTTCCAAGGAGTTGGTCCATAAACTGCATCTGCCCTGCTAGTGCAAGAGTATGAAGAGGGTTCCATTTTTCCTGAACCAGAGCCAATCAATTCAAAGATTTTTAAAACAATTTCCACCAGCATACGGTTACTAATTAGATCTTATAATCACGGACTCAAATCCACAGCTCAATACTAGAAACAAGCATGTCAGAACTCAGAACACATTCTTACAGTTAATATTTTGTCTGTCTGAGGAGTGTCATTCTGTTGCAGAGTGGCTCTTTCTTCTGGCCCCAAAAGCAGTTCAACTTCTGAAAGGAAGAAACAATGGTAGTTAACAGCTAAACTAAAAACAAGAAAGTAATATGGAGTAGATAAGCCAGAAATATGGACCTTTCACAAGCTCCTCTTCATAGTTGCTATCTGACATGCCATTGATACTGTTCTCAACCATACTGCTATCTCTCCCCGCCTCCAAATCACTGCAACTCTCCTCACCTTCTTCCCCTTCATCTTCCTCCTCATACTCATAATCACTTTCACTATCATTATTAGGATCTTCCCAAAGCGCAGCTCGGGCAAATTCTCTTACTCGAGCCCTCCATTGGTAGCTACCAGAAAAATGAAACCCCAAGCTAATTCTTTGTGGATGATCAATGAGACTGAAGAAACTGAACCTTGTACTAGAAATTGGACGAGCTGACACAACAGTAGGCAGCTGCTTCAGAGAGAAGCTTGGATTGGACAGTGACAACATCCCCGTTTACCTATCCACATCATCATAACCAAAATAACTTCATTTAGCAAATACAAAAAAGCTATCTTTTTTTTTTTTTTTCTGTGTGTTTTCAAATGCAGTCCTTATAATATTTTGAAATGTTATGCTAAGCTAAACATTTTATCGAACAGCTAGCGACCAACACTTCCTGAAAGGATTCCGGTGGCATCCTACTCAAGACATTTGTAATGAACCCGTAGTTTGAGAAGGATAAAAATATATATATATACTCAAAACAGTCAAAAGAGTGAACTTTACATGAATAAAAAAGAACCATTGCACTCTTTCAGATATATATCAAAATATTTAAAATCAAAAGAGAACACCAACTCATCCACAGACCCGTTATCACAAAATCTCCATTCACATCCAAAGAAGAACTGACCATTAACAAAAAATAATAAAAATTCAATACCAGAAATTCAAAAGAAGAATCAGTCGAAGCCTCGAAAGTCGATTGTGATTTGCTTCTTTGTAAGAATTGTATGGTGAGAGGGTAGAGAGGCTCCTGAGACGGGTGAAAGAGAGACTGAGTTGTGGATTGAAATGTTGAATTGGGATGACAATTTACGGTAGGTAATCCTATTCATAAATTATTTGACAAAAAGTGATATAAATATGATAGATCAATAGTTATGCTATGCAACCGAATGTACCATGCGCATGGTGCATACGGTTCAAAACGACGTCGTTTTGACTAAAAATGCGCGTCCCACTTAAAAAAAAAAATCAGGTTCGATTCTCAGCAATAGCATTATTGTGGATATATAGTTATGAATTTCTGGATATATAGTTATAAATTTGTGGATATATAGTTATGAATTTATGGATATTTAGTTCATTCACTGTGGATATTTAGTTCAATCATATATTGTGGATATTTAGTTCATTCATTGTGTATTTTTACTTCATTCATTCATTATGGATTTTTACTTCATTCATTCATTCATTGTGGATTTTTACTTCATTCATTCACTGTGGATATATAGTTATGAAATTGTGGATATATAGTTACGAAATTGTGGTTATAATATAGTTATGAATTTATAGATATTTAGTTCATTCATTGTGGATATTTAGTTCAATCATATATTGTGGATATTTAGTTCATTCATTGTGGATTTTTACTTCATTCATTCATTCATTGTGGATTTTTACTTCATTCATTCATTCATTGTGAATTTTTACTTCATTCATTCACTGTGGATATATAGTTATGAAATTGTGGATATATAGTTACGAAATTGTGGTTATATAGTTATGAATTTCTGGATATATAAAAATGCTATTGCCGGGAATCGAACCTGATTTCTTCTTTAAGTGGGACGCACGTTTTTTTTAACCAAAACGGCACCGTTTTGCAACCGTATGCACCTTGCAAGGTGCATTCGGTTGCACAGCATAATTTGCGATGATAGATTATTACCAACTCTTACCCCAAAAATCGCCGAACTTTGGTCTCTTATCTCAAATACTGCCCATTAAACAATTGAATTAAGCCCATGCGGGTAGATTATTACCAACTCAATTTACACAAAAACACCAAAATTACACCAAATATTATGTTAAAAATAATATTTTCACACTAAATTTTATTCATCTTTAATTCATTACATCAAATGTTATTCTATACTAAAATAATTTAGTTTTCAAATTTTAAAAATTTATTACTTCAAATTTAATTAGTTTAATATAAAATATAATTTGTGATATAAATAATAATATTTTAATACAATTTAATTTCAGATGTAATTATTTTAATTTTGTTAAAATTATGTTTTCAGTGTCAAATAGGTCTCTGAACATTACTCAAAAAGTCCATTAGACTTTTAAACTTTTAAAAATTGTAATTAAGTCTTTAAACATATTATTTTAGAGCATTTGACCCAACAACCAGTGGTGACATAAATTACAGGTTACTATGGTTCAGGCAAACCTCCAGCGAGATTCTGACATTATTCCGACAAAAAACATCGGTGAAACAGTCGTCAGTGTTGTTTGGTTGCCTTCCCGGGCTAAGGAGAAGGCAACCCATCTGGTCGCGGGCAAATGAGAAGGCATACCAAACCAATTCACCTCCCATCTCCTTCGTCGAAGAAGGCAACCAAACCACATCGGCGACCATTTCGTCGGTGTTTTTTTGTCGGAATATGGTCGGAATCTCACCGGAGGTTCGGTGGAACCTTAGTGACATGTAATTATAGGTCACCAACCAGTTTTTGGACATCAATGCTCTAAAATAATATGTTTAAGGCTTAATTGCAACCTTTGAAAGTTTATGCTCCTAATTAACTTTTTGAATAATATTCAGGGGCTTATTTGACCTTTTTTCTAAGGGCATCTTCAATAGTAGTGATTTTTTTGTTGTTTTTAAGGTGCCAATTAGATAGAGAGGAAGGAGGGAAGAAGAAAAAAAAAAATCATCTTGACGCGCCAGTTGATGTGTGCACTGCACGCGCCCGGCTGGGCAGGGTCTATGTGCGAAACGCACAAAAATTGAGTCTCTCTTCATTTTCTCTCTCATGCGAGTCCCACAAAAAACCACCTCTTACAAGACATCCCCAAATTTTCTCTCTCCTCCCCCTCTCTCCTTCATATCACCCATGTTTACCTCAAAAACGGAGTAAAATCCACAAATGCGGATGCTCTAGGTTTTCAAATAGTAACTTTAATATACAAACTGTACCATCCGAGATAGAAAAAACGTACAGATGTTATGTTGGATGAATTATAAGAAACCGAGATCCCGACAACTTCTCCAAGATCGCATTCATCCCATGCCTCACCTTGAAGTGAGGGCATTAAATCGATTTTGAATATCTTAGAGTTAGTAATCTTCGTCTCCATGTAGTACTCTAGGAGTTCTTTGATCAGTCACAAGCTATAGGAAAAGAAGGATCACTTTGATACATTTGTTGTAGGGCCTTAAATGTTATGCAAATCATAAAAATACCGAAGTTGAATAATACTATAACTACAAACAAGTTAAGATAAATTAACATCTTAAATTTAAACTGATTAATTTTAATCCTCTTTCATCGAACTTGGTTCACTTAACAAGATAATACTAAAAAGAAGATTGTTCTCTTTACAAGATAAGCAAAAACTACACTTCCTGTTCCTAGGCAGGGCATGTTACTGGTGTCATTTACAATCAGTAAGTTAGATCATAGATTACCAGCCACCAGGAGTAGCTATCATTGAACCTTTCTAGAACGCAAAAATTTCTACAGCTTCATAAGTTGCTTCAGATGGTGCTGGGCAAAAGATAACAGATTGGCACATATAATGGCATGTACATTAGCTTGAACTCTTCAGGCGGGTTGAACGCCGAGTTACCCTTGTGATTGTGGAGGCGGTATTCTGAGAGGAACTAGACACTAGATTGTCGGCACCAGTTTCTTTGCAGGTTCTTTGCTTCTTTCTTGTGGAGGATTCCCGAGTCTGAGATGGAGCAGCTGCGTCTTCCTCTTCTAAATATTCTGCTTTAGCAATTGTAAATGGCCAGTCTGCACGACAACCTGGACAAACTTTTGCAGCCTGGAGATGATAGCAATTATTCCAGTTCATCAAACTCATGCATCCAAGTCGATATTTTTCCATTGTTTTTTTTTTTTGGAGGGGAAATTTACCTTTCTTTGAGAGAACTTCATTCGAAGACAGTAGTCATGGATTCTTACATTGCAGCTTTCGTTGGGGCATGATTCCACCTGCTCAGAATAGTGACAGCATGATTGGGTGCACGTGATAGGTATGAACCATATGATGTGATAATTATGTAAAGGAAGCAATCACAGATAAAAGTATAGACCTTCACAGCAGCCTCATTGCAAACTTCACATGTCGGAACCTCGTTACTGCGAAACCAACTCCTGAGATCAAGAAAGGAGCGCATGCCTAGTCCAATCTTACCATCTGATGGTGAGCAGAGCCACTGATCCTTAACAAGCTCTTCTATTGTCTTTTCCTTTTGAGACATTGAGAAATTCCTAAATGCAGCTGGAACCTGGCTTGGTTCTGTTTCAGACTGTGAACTTGTGCCAGCAAGGACCTGGAGAGTGGATACCAACGGAATTGTCAAGAAGAGCAGTTGAGACTAGGAGAGAAAACATAAACTGGTTGTACCTTAGGATGGAAACAATAAATTTGAGAGATCGGGAATTGTAAACTTCTGTTTAGAAAAATTGTATGGACATTCAGAATTCAGAGTGTAGTTGGTGCCACTTTGTACGGGACTGACTTGCCTACTGACCTAGAGGGGACTAAAGCTAGATATAAGCCCTAAAGCACGGAGGGTTTTCTAAGCCTGTACCTGGAAGTGAAAGCAAAAGGGTTCTTTGCAAAAATATTTTTTAGAATTATGCTACCCTAATTGATTTCAGAATTTCGGTGACTATTGTCAAAATTATCAAGTGAATTACCAACAGAAAACTCAACACATACAAAGCTTTAGTTTATGTATAAAGTTGAATGCACCAGATACTTGAGAACTGAGGGGATTCCTAAACATGCCGAAATTGGAAGGATCAAGTGCATGCAATGCATGAATTGTTTGGCAACAAAATACTTTCATTATACCTCAAATAAAAAATTTCACATAAAATAGGTAAGCAACGATGGGTGTGAGTCGGGTAAAAGCTTCACTAGTTAATCAAGCCTCAATCAATACGGAGTATTATGGAACACCCTTATCATTCTATAACATTTTAGTCTCACCAGTGAAACACCAGTATATATAGCAAAAGGAAGGCTTTTTTTTAATCAATCTAGACATAACATTCCCAGAAATGCTATAAATGAACAAATCACAAAGGATAAAATATAAGATTACATGCCAGGGATGATCAGTTAATGGTGGCAAGCCAACAAACCTGATTTTCCAAGCGTATATTTATCGCCTGAATTTTTGATATGCTGCCTTCAGTCCCATCCTGGACAATTGCTTCCACCTAATGGGAGCGATAAAAAAGATACCAGATACCAAAAAAGTATATGAAATACTGAGTAGCCAATAGAAATAATACAGGTAACTTTTAGAAATTTGGTTGCAACACCCTATGGCAGTCAGAACATAAAATTTTAAAGCCATGAATCAACCCATTGTTTAATGCATTAAATACAGAGTAACTGAATTCTCTCTTATTAACCTCTTTTCCCTGACAGATGCATATGTTTTTGGGAAAAATTTGAAGAAAAAGGAAAAATACTAAAATTTAAAAAAATAATAATAATAAGAGCATTAAAGGTAGTAAGATGACTAAAAACATAACATACCATGGCCTTATAGAAAGCTATTTGAGGAACAGAGTATTTTGTCCCAAGCTTTGACTGTTCATCAGAAACATTATTCACAACTCCATAATATACACTTCCATCGTATTGATCTCGGCATGCCCTCAATTCAAACTGCACGAATGCTAGTTCCGCATTTATCTTCCTTAGAAAATCATTAAATAGCTGCCCATGTGTGGCTATAAAAAAAAAAAAAAAAAAATCGCGATCAACCTTAAAATACAATTCTAAAAGTGACCAATCGCATAAAACATAACAGCACG